ACACGATGAAGATATTGTAGCTGGCAAGAGGAAGGCAAGCCAGCACCTTGCTGCTGAAATACTCAGGTTGGCTGGGGTTGATTAGCCACTATTTACGGGGGTTTTTTCATATCTAGAAGGCAAATTCTGACCCCACTTTCACCAGTGGAAAGCGGGAGGAATTCCACTGGAGCCATTCCAGATTTACACCGTCTGCAGAATTTGACTCTATGAAAGATAATCACATACATAAAGTCCATTTGCATTTAACGCCTTTAGGATACCGTGCCCCCAGAAGTACTTCTGTTATCGGATTTGCTTGTAACTAACACGGTTTGCAAAGCATGAGAGAAATTGAGGTACTCACCCTGTTCCGATCTCCTGCTCACTATGTCCTTAGACTTCACCGATGCCTGCACAGTTTGCTCTCAGTATTTATACCATCCCCTGTGTGCTTCAGTGTAATTGGTCTCCCACTCTATTGGGGCTGCCTGCTGACGTTCATCGCATACTCTGCTGACGACGACGTGCACGGATAGGTTTAAGCCCTCTTGCCACCGGGTTGGTGCTCTGATGAGACAGTATTGAGAAAGGCTCTTCTGTGAACACCCGCCTGCCAGCTCATTAGCTGGCAAAGACCCCTTGCGCTCCGCAGTGGAAGTTTCCTTGTGTCCATAAGCAGATGGGAGCAGAGTTGTATTGCAGGGCAGTTGCCAACAGTGGCAAAGGACATCCAATTTAAATGGTGGCTCTTCAGCATCTACTGATGTCTGGGGCAATGAGCTGCCTCGTGAGTGAAGCCTTTCCACTAGTGAGCACTGCAGCAGAGTCTGTCTCAAACTGAATGAGATTGGGACTCATCCCAAAAATTCAGGGGGCCGGAGCGGAAGTTGGTTGGTCAGATCTGGGCTTTTGGGCCTGGGCCTTTAGAGAGAGAGAGAGGGGTCAGTGGTGGAGCTTACACATCCAGAACCAAACTCGGGTTCTCAGAGCCAGGATTTTGGCTCATGCTGATCTCTAGCTACGAGATTCCTACATCCCCTCCAGCTCTTACTGGCATACTGCATCTGCCTGAGCTAGCCTGTAGGCCCCTTGCAGGCGGCTGGGACTTGTTGGTGTACACCAAGCAAACGCAATCAGAGACTGGTGAAGGAGGCAGTTAATCGAATAAGGTTGCCATAAGGTCCTCTAATGCAAGATCTATTCAGCAGGGGGTGCTTGAATGAACATACAATTAATAAGACCAAAGTCAGACCTGCTGCAAGGATGTGAAATTCCCAGTGAAGTCAATGGGAGTTGCACCTGCTTACCCAGAGGCTGCATTTGGACCAGTGCATGTGTGATATTGGGGTGCACCACAATGTGGAAGAATCAGGCATTTAGGGCTAAGGAAAATATAAAAGAAGAAGTAGTTTAGAACTAGAGATGGATCCAGATGGGAGCCCCAGATCCCAACGCCCCTCCTCCCCTGCAGGATTTGGGTGCATTTATATCCAGATCCTAGCTCACACTAGAGTTGATTGAAAAGCCATCCCCCAGGAAATTCTGATATTTTTGACATTCGTTTTTGTCCTGAATCAGGTTGAAAATTCAAAATTTGTAATGAAACAGACAAGTTCCCCTTCACTTCTCTCCTTTCAACTCTAAATAAGCCAGAAAAATTTAGATTTGAAAATGTCAGAATTGATTCACTTTGGGCTGGTTGATATTAATCTGCACCCACTTGAGATGCTGCAGTGCCTCATGGGAGTTTTAGTTCCAGAGCTTCATGCCCCTATTCTCCTCTATGGGCTGAGCTCCTTGGTCAGACTACATCTTCCATGATGCACTATGTTCTCTTCCTCAGGTAGAGAAGCTGTGGGGTGTCATGGGAGATATAGTCCAACCAGGGAGCCCAGTCTTTAGGAGAGAATGGGGGCTTGAGGCACCCAAACTACAACTCCCATAAGGCACCACTGCAGCTCAAATTAATCGCAACCCAACTTGAAACAAAATGTTTTGTTTAGATTTTCCTGATGGAAAAACTGAATTTTTTTTGGCAAAAATCAACATTTTCCCCTCAGAAAATTTAAATTTTCTGTCAAAACAAGATTTTTATGGAAAATTCCAGACCAGCTCTACCTCACACTTGGACCCTACCTCTGAAATGGGCTGAACTGGAATCCCAAACATCTCCGGGTGCATAAGTAACTTCTGAGGCACATCCAGCCTGAAGCAGTGTGAATTTGAGGGCCTGGGCTCATCTGTTTCGTGCCTGTCTGAATGAGAGACAGCCGGGATGGCACATTGGCCTATACGTATAAGCAAGCCAATAATAATCACTGATATTTATACAGCATCTTCTGTTCTAAAGGACCCCAAGGCACTTTACTGGCAAACTACTATACAAACCACTGAGAAACATCCCTTCATCCACCTGTGTGCTGGCTCATGGCATCAACTGCATCAGCTGTCCAATGGTGTATGACATCAGCACACACCAGTTCAGGACAGGATGCAACTGAGATTACTGTATCCAACTAACGCTGCAGGGGGCATATAAATGGGCAGAATAACACTCTTCCTTGGTTGGAATTCGGCTTGGCCTCCAGCATCACGAGCTTGGCTCCCACACAGACTGCTATGGGGTCTTTAATGACCACAGTCAGCCAAGGCATTGGTTTTACTTCTTGTCCAAAAGGTGGCACTTCCTGCCACGGCCACCCCTTCCCGCCATACTAGTGGAAGGATTGATTCAGAGCGAAGTACGGCACCTACCGAATCACCCACACCGTTTCTTGTAGCAACTTGAGCCCAAAGCTACAAAATATTTAGGGTCCTAACTTCCACTGATTTCAACTGAAGATAGGTGCCTGAATACCTCTGAGGATCTGGGCCTTGGTGACCTGAGAGGATCTCCCATACAAATACTCAACCAGGCCCAGCCCTGCTTAGTTTGGGGTACCTCAGAGGATCCCTTACAAGGTGGTGCCACTGGAGGCCATTGGGTCTTGCCCTGTTCCCACATGATAAATTTAAATTAAATTAAATAAATTTATGGAGATATCCCATCTCCTAGAACTGGAAGGGACCTTGAAAGGTCATCAAGTCCAGCCCCCTGCCTTTGCTAGCAGGACCAAGTACTGATTTTGCCCCAGATCCCTAAATGGCCCCCTCAAGGATTGAACTCATAACCCTGGGTTTAGCAGGCCAATGCTCAAACCACTGAGCTTTTAGGTGATGGGACAACCTAAAAGGCACGTTCACGTTCTTACGCGTGATCTTCAATCAAGTTCCCCTTCACTTCTCTCCTTTCAACCCTAAATAAGCCAGTATTTGTTCAGTATCTCCAGGCCTCTAGCTATCTTGGCTGCCCTTCTCTGGACCTCCCCATTCATGCTGGGACCTTTGTTAAGAGGAGGGCATGAAAACTGGGCTCGGCTCCCTGAGGAGAGTGCTCTGTCACTGGCTAGAATGCTCCTGTAAGCGCATCCTGTATCACTGCATCTCAACACGACGTGGAAATTAGCTGAGCATTTTCCAGCCGAAGTGACATCCGGCAGCTGCAAGCTCTTTGTCTAATAGGGAAAACGTAACCTTGCCAATGCGTGAGGTTAAACTCATCTTGTGAGCGGACAGGCAAACACAGCGTTTGTAAATTAACTTCTTTCCGAGACACCGGAAGGTTTGGGAGATGTCACCCTCTTTTAATTCCTATATCGATTTCCTCTTGTAGCCCTGTTGACCCTGGCTTAAAAAACACTGATAAGCAATTTGCTTTGCATCCTTTCGCCTTTGTTAGCTCATCAATGCCTCCTTCGTTCCCTGCCTGTTGATATGACGACTGCAAGGGAACGCTCAGTACCAAATACGAAGATGCCACATTTGTATCAGGCACCTCATCCCAAACGGGCACAAACAGAACGCCCCAAAATACAGCCTGCATTGCTTCATCCCCCATGCAATTGCAGTTACCTCTAGGGTGGAATACAGTTAACTAACACCACCCCACAGCATCACACTACCATTCAGCACCAGACACAGTCATACATCCCTTATGTAGCTGAAACTGCAGTGGGCAGCACGTCATTCCCAAAGCTGGACTCTAGCCAGGATATCAGCTAACAGGCCTGCTGTATGAAAAGCACCCAGGGATCTCGATGGGCACCAATATCAGAACTTACATCTGTAACGAGCCAGAGAGGGACCTTCTCTAAAGGGGAAGGGCCTCTCTGCTGGAAGTGCCACAAAGATGCTGGCTAGTCCCTAATGTGGCGGTGGTTTATGGGAAGTGGGATGAATAACCTGTCACACAAGCCACCAGACAGCTTTCAGCTGCTACAGACTGCAGTATCTTTAAACACTAAATGTACAGCTCCGCTTACTACCCAACTCCCCTTTCATTGCTCCTCTCTAGTGAGGTCTGGGAGAGAGGCAGGAAGCAAGCAGAAAGGAACCAGCTCTGACACGGACTTGCTTGTGATCGTATGTAAGTTACTTCACATCCCTGCCTTTGTTTCCCTTTCTTCAAAATCCGCTAACAACAATTGCTGATTTCACAGTCAGTTGATGTGAAATGAAAATAAGTGGCTAATATCACAATTGGGGGGGAGGGATAGCTCAGTGCTTTGAGCATTGGCCTGCTAAACCCAGGGTTGTGAGTTCAATCCTTGAGGGGGACACTTAGGGATCTGGGGCAAAATCAGTACTTGGTCTTGCTAGTGAAGACGGGGGGCTGGACTTGATGACCTTTCAAGGTCCCTTCCAGTTCTAGGAGATGTAGGTCTTGTAGCCCTGTTGACCCTGGCTTAAAAAACACTGATAAGCAATTTGCTTTGCATCCTTTCGCCTTTGTTAGCTCATCAATGCCTCCTTCGTTCCCTGCCTGTTGATATGACGACTGCAAGGGAACGCTCAGTACCAAATACGAAGATTTCAAGGTCCCTTCCAGTTCTAGGAGATGGGGTATCTCCATTAATTTATTTATACAATCCCCTTGGACTATGAAAAGGGCTATATAAATGCTGGGGAGGGGGGTGGGGGTGGTGTTTTGCTGGTGCTTACAAAACAACTCAGGCAAGCAACTCCAAAAGATGAAGGAGAATTGCAGAGGGAAGCATCAGGACCTGAATATCACTAGATATTTGAGCTGGAAGGAAAGGAAGAAGGTGCTTTCATTCCCAGCTGCTGCCTCGACTCTCTGATTTCCTTTCAGAAGAACTGGGAGCGCTTTTCAGTCCAAGCTGAAAGATCCCTCCCGACGATCATGGTGGCACGTACCGAAGGCACTAATGCTGCAAAGCCAAAGCCCGTGCTAGGGTACGGAAAGACACTGCTTCAGCACTAAAGCCTTCTGTCATTGTTGGCAACTTCAAGCCAGCGCGCAGATGGGGATGGCAGAATCTCTCAGCGCATTTGCCAAGTGGAACAACAGGCTGGTTCTGATGTCACAGTGCTCAATGTGTGGAAATATCCTGCTGTCTCCAAAGGGATCTGCTTGAAGTTCAGAATAACTCCGTTTGGAGAAGTGCTGGCATCACCCTAGAAGAGGAAACTTAAGCCTTATCTTTGGTGATAATTCCCTGCAACCTCTGACCCTCGGGGGAAAAACAAGGCTTCCTGAGGGCTGGATAGCACCTGGCAGGCCCATTTTGATGAGCCGGTAGAGCAAGATGCTGCCCTGTACAGATTCATGAATTAATTCTCTGTTGGAGGTGTCCAAGCAGGGGGAGCCTCCTGGTTCATGCAGTGAGAAGCATTCACACTAAAAACTCTCATACTCCAGGGCATAAATGAGTTGCTGGAAAGGTCAGGCAGGAAGACTTTCCTCTTGCATACAGCAATAAACATTGTACAGGTGCATATGGAGGGCTGTAGTTTGCCTCTCTCAGACGCAGGCCATTGCCAGAGGCAGATCAGACATGATCAAGTGGCCTGATCTGGCATGATGAACAACTATGCGCCCTACAGTAAGAACCCACCAGGATCCTCCTACAGATCACCGTAACATGTAGGGGCCTCAACCAAGAGACAGGCCCTGCTCCAAACAGCTTAGAATCTAAATAAATGAGAGAGGGGGAATATTGTGATCCCCATTTTGCAGCTGGAGAACTGAGGCAATATGGGTTTGATCCAGTTCCACTGATCTCAGTGGGAATCTTACCATTGATTGCAGTGGGCTTTGGATCCAGCCTTAGGTGATTTACTCAAGATCACACGGGGAGTCTGTGGCAGAGCTGGGAACTGAGCCCAGACCCCCTGAGTCCCACTCCAGAGCCTTAAACAGAGCCCATTACGTGCCCCTTTGCCCCTGGCCCCCGCTGCCTCTGTAGCCATCTCCCCATCCAGGGCTTAATTTGTGGGGGCTGAGTAAGTCTGCTGTGAAAAATGATATTAAACTTTTCACAGCAGACTTACTTATAGCTAGCAAGTCTAAAAAAACCCCAACAACCCAAATATACACACACACACACACACACACACCCCAACAAGAAAAAAGACAAGAATGTTCAAAGCACCTTATTTGTGTTTCTATTCTGTTTAGGTCCAGTAAAGAAGAGAGACAACTGTGCGTTATTTTTATTATTGAGTCTGCAAAAAACCCACCACCCTACATAGATAAATGACTATGATTTGGACATGTGTATTTGCATATTTATTTATTTTTCCTAAAGTTAATTAAGTATTTTAGGAAAAATTGTCAAAGTGGCCACGGCAAGAATTGGTGGCCACACTCTGAGGCCACCAAAAAGTTTGTTGCAAGAACCCCTGCACTAGCTCATTAATCCAAGCCGCAATGGTTGGTTGCAAACGCTACTGGGGAAATGGCAATGGATTTCCAAAGGGATTTTTTTTAAGGAGGGAAGTATTTCTGTAGGCGTAGGGTAAGAAAGCGTTTTAAAATCACCTATGTTTTTGGAAGCAAGGTTGACTTGACATTGGGCCCTTGATGCATAATACTACCCTGTGTTTCTGCAGCGCCTGCCCTCTGAAGGCCTGACAGTCCGGTGCAAACATGAACGAGCTAAGCCTCTTGACATTCCTGCGAGGTACGTAACTGGCGTTAGCTTCGTGTTTTAGATGGGGAAGCTGAGGCCATGAGAGGCCTGTAGCAGGAATAGAAACTAAATCCCCTGCCTCGGAGCCCTGTGCTTTAACCCTAACACCATTTTGATTCTGAGGTTCTCCAGGGGCAGCTTTGATCTAGTGACCTGAATGCAGGGCAGAAAGTCAGGACTCCTGGGTTCTGTTTCTAGTGGTGCTGCTCACTCGCTGTGTGACCCTGAGCAAGTCATTTGACTCCCCAGTGCCTCAGTTGCTCAGTCTGTGAAAAAGAGATGACAATGCTGCTCACCCGCCTTGAGCTTGATAGCCCAATATAACTGGAAAGCAATGTTATTAATGAATGTCTGAACAGCGCTTTGAGCTGGAGGGATGAAGGATGCAACGGAAGTGCCAATTATTGGTAATACATTTAGCATGAAATCAGTGCAAAGTTGCTTTAAATATTCCTTTAGAAATATATAGAGTAGCTGAGACTGGGGCTATTTACGAGGAGGTTCTACCATTTCTTAGGTATTATGAGCAAATCTAAAACAAGATTAAAGCAGGAGGATAACCT